ACCGATCAGTCTCAGGACCAACAGCCAACCGAACCACACCGAGCGCCAGGCATAAGCTGCCAGACAACAAGCAAACCAGATGTAAACCGGCCAGTCTGAGGACAACGCAGGACAAGGAAGGCCATCAAAATACACAATACAATAGACAATGCTCAAACAAGAGACCGGTCAGAAGAAATCCCAAAGCATACACGTATCGTGTACCATGGAGAACTAGCTGGCTAGACCTCTGTCCAACCATGAGGGCGCCGAGAGATTGATGCAGGCTCTGTCGCCACGTCTGTGTTGCTTGAGGTTAGGCCGGAGGCCATAGCTCCGATAGGCTTCGTCTAAGATCGAACAGCTCCTAAATCTCTTCGTTTGGTTGAGACTGACGTAAAAGCCGCGTGACAAACTGATTCATGTCCTCCTCGGAGTACGTGGTCAAGCCCAGCCTAAGCTCACAAAGAGCTGAAGACAGTGTTCGTACTACAGTGAACTAGGCAACTCGGCAGTTGAGTACTTGCTTATTGGGGTCTCAGAGCCTAATGACAGCTACAGTGCTACAGTAATTGAGGGCCAAGTGTAATGCCCAGTGCCAGCAAAACAGGAGAGATACCAGAGATACAAGGCTCAGGGCTGGGACCCAGGAAGGCAAAGAGCAACACGCTGCACATGTTGACACTGCTCGTGAGCATTGTCAAAGGTCTCTACGAAGACCAACGGTAGGTGGGTTCTCAAGCTGGACTGAAGCTAGCACAACTCGACGCCGTCCACCGTCACGACGCCTCATGCAATCTTCCAAGAAACGCTTCCACAGTGTTGACCAACATCTTTCCTGGTGGGGTTATGCACTGGGTGCTTCCACGGCAGAGGATGTATAGCAAGTGTTCAAGCCGGTGTCGCTAGGCAGAAGGACCAGCAAGCATACGTTTAGCTGATGATACAATGGAGAAGCAAAGTGCTTGAAGTACACCATCGAAGCCGAGAGATTGCATAGAGCCGAAGCATAGACATAGCGATAGTGGCAACAGCAGTGAGGGCAGTCCAAAAATAAACCCCGCTGCAACGAACGAACCTACAGGCGCCAACGCCATGGTCCCTGATCGGGAACCCTGCGCAAAGTTGCTGTGAATACTGCTTGCGACATTACTCTGAAACGACATGCTGGGAACAACCATCACTACAAAGTACTGCTACGGCGACGACAACAGCGATAACTTCTGCTGCTCCACCTGAGTACCGTGATGTTGCTCCACCACCCCGAGCACTCACATCCCTCACCCTCCTGTGATCAGCTTGTTGGAAGACATTGCGCCCAATCGCACTTGCAGTCTTTGGCGAACGCCGTGCAGTGCACCTTGGGGCGTGAACGGTGTGTTGTTTGACCTCCTCAGCCATCCTCAGCCTGCATTAGGTGCAACCCATGCGGAGGGAGCTCTGGAAATCAACGTCCGAAAGCTGAAACTGTGTAATATCAGCAAATCTGCTCCTAATGCGACGTCCAGCTTCCAGCTTGTTCTATTCTGTGCGAAGCAGGGGCTGTCGCTGTCCTCGCGATGTAGCAAGGGATCCCCATCGCCCGCCGCGACTTGGCTGCCCACCTGCAACTGCCCGAGGCTTCATCACTGGTGGAAGGCATTGGTGACTTGGAAGTTTCCGTGCCAGGAGGTTGAAGCAAAGTGCAATTCTGAAAGAAGCTAAACTTTGACCCACGTAAGAGTGTCAGGTCAGCCAAGCATCAGCACTTCAGGGCTTCAGCATCTCACAGCGATATCGATTGCTTCAGGTTTGGGAAGTTGGGACGAGGCACAGCGGCCTTGGCCAAGCCTTGCCTGGTCTACATGCCAGTCCAATGTTGAAACTTGAATGTCGGCACCCAGTGCATTGCACCATCTAGTGCTAACACTGAGTCAAATCACAAGCTCTGCGTGACATGTGCCAGACACACAATGCCTTGCACGGACATCCACCACAAGGGCAACTTCTAGACACCACAGAGTTCACTGCGAACCCGGCAAGTTGCAGATGGCCTCTTGGTCTACGATACTCTCCCCGGCCGTGTTCTGCCGGGAAACCTTGGCTGCCAACACATACATCTCCGAAAAACATCGCAACCGTCCTACTTCCCATCCACTAAACTAGGACAAAAGACTTCACGACAGGTTTCAAGAAACAACACACACACACACACTTGATAAGAGAATCAGGTCAGAGTTCAAATGAACATCGACCGATTCCTATCACTGCGCTCTTAGGGAGCACAAAGCCAGTAGGCACTGAATCATGACCAAGATGCGACCACTGTTTAAGATGCAAGTGCGAGCAACATGGGAAGCAGAGCAATGCACACAACTTACAAGCGATGAAATACCCACCAGCTGTCGCCTCGCGACCCAAGTGCGCACACACACACACCCTCAATTAACAAATCAGCGAGACGGTACGACGAGTAGTCTCACGAAACTCGCTCTGAGTAGTCTTGCGATGGGTCTGGGTCAGAACCGCGCAACAGTTGCACAGACTTTAGCTCGAAATCCACGAAGGGCCGTGGCAAAGATGATGTCTGCCGGATATCCGGCGCCTACCGCGCTCAAGGCCTGACCCGACATGGACACCTACCTGCGCCTCGTGCGGGAAGGGACACCGTCGTGTCCATAGCATGCTCAACTGCTTGCAATGCATCTCGCGGCCCTGTACCCGAGAAGGCCCTCGGACCCTGACTGATCTGTCAGTAGCCAGCAGAAACACATTACTATTACAAGCGCAGGATGCAGCGTGACAGGCCTGAGCTAATCCACTCTTGCGCCGTACCCTGCCGAACCTCCTGTTTAGCTTCCGAGCGACCACTTGATCCGACATACTGGCGTCCTCTTCTAACGGCTCCATGACCGAAGCGGCCTGCAGTGGAGTGGACAGTTCAGGAGTAATGAAGGGGTTAATGAAGTCGTTGTTGAAGCTTAGGAGATCTTAGGAGGATGTCGGATCGTCCGGTCAAACCAGAGGTTTCTCACGAAGCATCGCCCCTCAACTTTTGTACGTAGCTGAAGAAGAATGTAACTTTCGAGGCACTGCCGTATTCCAGCTGACACATGACCCCCGGTCTGGATGAGTGGCATTCTCCAAGGATGACAGGATTCGAAAGTCCACGAACCCAACCGTCTCGACATGCGCATCGAAACCCGAAACTCATGTGGCCGCCTTGGGGGTTGGAGCCTTCGGCGATTCGCTGCCAGTTGATCGTGCATACAGCAGCTCCACTTGCCGACTCCTTGATTCGGGTCCAGAAGAAGGTTCAGCAAGGGCTGCAAGTCGGTTTTCAAGTTCACGTTAACTCGCCGCCTTCAGTGACAAGTCCAAGTCGTCGGCTCCGGCCGATCGTTTATTTCTATTGCGGCTTGGCAGCTCTTTGGGAGGAAGAAAGCTGTGGTCGTACCGCTCGACAACTTGACCAGTTTCGAGCTCTCGTCTGGTGACTTCGCCTGGGTGTGTCATCGGACTTGACAGTTGCTCTCGCCGTGGCTCATCCGACAGTGCTTAGACTAGAGGATTGTAAGCCACTGAGGTCTTTGATCTTGCCAGTGAGTTCCTTGTGAACTCGCTTGACCCGAACACGTGACTACAAGCAGTCGAATCCTGCTGTCCACGAGGCAAATTTTCGAGACCTGTCAGGGGTGCAAGTTCTTTGTGTGCATTCTGTGCCCAGGTCTGGACGTGTGCCGCGAGTCCCGCTGACAGAGCGTTTAGAAGTTGCTTCTCCTGTATGATTCCTTTCACCAGAGTATTCTACTGCAAATCTCACTAAGCCAAGGCAACCGCCCCAGGCAGCCTCACGGAGGATCCGAAAGGGCTAAGAAAACGGTCCCGGCCGGGCCTCTGCTTCGAGGCTCCTCACACGCGCCTTGAGCGCAGGAAGGGTCTCCTGGGCTGAGAGCTGAGAGGGGATTGGGCTTTGGGAACCCCAAAGAACCCCCCCCACTCTTGCTCTGCCGCTCTCCTGATGTGCCTCCAGCAAGGCGGTTTCTGCGTAGGCCTGCACCAGAGCCACGGATGCCACTGATGACAGACAGCTTTGAACACATGGCGATGGTCTGTGCCACAGAGCCCGTATCTGTGGAGTTCTGGATTTTGCTTCTCTAGTCTGTTGTCACAGTAAGTGGCAAGGAACATCGGTCTCGCAAGGAACCAGAGTGCAGTACAGCCGTGGCCGTAGCCTCAAGCATCTGACTCCGGAAGATCTGCCAGGATGCATCCTTTGTTTGCAAAAGCCGACTGAGAGTTGCCACATTGACATAGAGGCGGAGAGAGAGCATGTGCCCGGACCGGACATCTCAAAATTTTTGCCAAGATGCCAAAAACTTGGCGAAAATCATCTGCCGCTGGTTGGGGTCCAGCATGGCCATGGTGCAATCACAAGCGAAGGTCGCACTAAGACTCTGCAGTAAAGAAGGGCGAATTGCCCGCAGCAAGTGCTTCAGTTGTTTAAGCCGGAAGATACTTTGGCGAAGCTGTACTACTAGTGGCAGTTGACGCCCAAAAGGCTCCACTTGTCGAGTTCCCGTTCTTTTGTTATGCCATCTATGTTTGTTTTCCAGCATCACTATCACCGAAGTGCCCCTCCTCCTCTCACTAAACAGCTGTTGCAGCAGTGGTGGCAGCATCGAGTTCACTCTCATTCATATTCCGCTTGCAGTCACAACGCTGCACTTGAGCCAGAATTGCTTCAATCCGGGAGCTCAACATGCTATCGAGCTCACTCAGCGGTTGTCGGCCCTGATCTCAGATCACCATAGCGGCCATCGCGACGACAAGTGACTCAGGTGTTAGCCATCGCGGGAAGTCTTCACCGTAGTGTGAGGGGCTGTCGAATTTTCGATTGCGTGTTGTGCACTGACAATGGCTTTTGCACTACCATCTCAACTAACGACAGCTCAGTCACCCGTCATGCATGCGATGCTGGAACAGTAAAGCGAAGCAATCCAAGTCGCGAAGGCGCTCATTTTTGACGCGATTTGGATGCGTCATTTTGAGAAGAGGCTAGCCGTGCCAAACCGGCGCCTGCGTAACAGCGCAATGAAGCTTTGATCGAGTATGGCTCGAAGATGCTCGGAAAATCGCAACCGTCCAAGGATCGGGCATGCACCCAAATGTGCCCACGCCATGCAGAATCCATGGCTCCCACGGCTCCAGGTGCCTCTCCTAGATTCTCGGACCTGAAGGCTGAAGGAGCCGTCCCAATGTTGAATTATCTGACGTTCTAGGACATCTTGGCGGTCTTCGATGATTCCATCTACCAAGCTTGGTCCCGATTTCACAGCGGAGTTTTGCATGAACTAGAAAACCTGTGGTCCTTGGTGCTGAATGCTCTTGCCGATGCACAAAGCGTTTCAGCTTCTGGCTTCACACCCTGCAGACCCCGTTACTTTGCCCTACCAAGCCCAAACAGTCTCCCTCGACACTGGCAAAAGGATGCGGGGCTGACTGGTCTCCGAAGAAGTTGAACACAATGGGCGCGTCCGTGTATTCGAAGACTCTGGTGTAGAAGTACGGGAGATACCTGAAGAATCATGGTGGGAAGACGCACTTCTGCAAGGCACGGGGCTGTGAGGATATCCTGCTGTCTCCGAACTTTTCCAGGCAACTCCGTTCAGCAGATGCAGCAATGCGAGTGATAGATTGGGAAGTATTGAGAACTCAACACGCGCGGATCCCTGGATCTCGAAGCTTGCAGCAGTCACGGAACTGAGTCTTGCCTCAGAAAGTACCGTGAAGCCAAGACTCTCCTGTTCGTCCTGTCTTTCTTGGGCCCAGGCGTGTAGGGAGGGGCTTCTACCCCCATGGCAGATTTCACAGCCTGCACTACGACATTCTAGCTGAGAGCATTCACAACGTTCGCTGTCGGAGACTTGAGCATAAGAACAGACTCGCGTGTTTTTTTAAATCGATGTGCAGTGCAGTCGCACCCATACGTCGTCCCTCTCTGCGGCTGCGACCTTAAATTTTTCATTCGTGCCATACACGGTGGAGATTCGCGGTGGCCAGGGCGAAGCAAAGGAGCTGCTGCATCAGCTGAATCAGAGAAAAGTGCGAGAAGCCGGTGACAACGCAAGATACAACGTGGAATGTAACACTTTCCTATATTGTGCCGAATGCTTTTTATAAGACCGCTACCTATTCACCACTTTCAACTCGGGCTGCTTGATGCTCCAACATTGTAATCGTCTTGAACCTCCAAGATGCTGGAAACAAACACTTTCTAGGCATGCGAAGTTTTTTTTTTCGGTTTCAATGTGCAAAAGCCACTGAATTTCAGGAAGGCTTTTTTTTTTTTTGTGTGTGTGTGTGTGTGTGTGTGTGTGTGTGTGTTAGTGTGTGTGTGTGTGTGTGTGCTAATCACATTGTCAGAAAAGAAAAGTGATGGCACATGACAGCAAGTTCCCGCAAGCCACAGACAGAGGGTGTCATGCGAAAACACCGCGAGCTTCCGCCAGGTTTGTTGTCTTTTTGCAAGCGTAAACAACTATCCACAAACACTGCCATTTGTGCCGGAGTCTGGCAACGACAACGGAGGAAAGACACCACCAACGTTTATCTGCATGCATATGTATGTAGGCTGTAATTAGGCAGCTACAACATGAACTTACACTACACATGCATACGTACATGCATACCTACTCTACATACATTCGTAACCTACATCTATACGTGCACTTCGACAGACATACAAACATATATATATATATATATATATATGTACACACATACATATATCTGTATATATACACATACAAACACTTTCATATACATACATGCATACATACATACATACATGAACAGATATGAACACAAAACGTCCGTCCATCTATCCACCCGTCCATCTATCTATCCGTCCATCCATCCATCACTCCGCCCATCCGTCCATCCATCCATCATCCATCCATCCATCCATCCATCATCCATCCATCCATCCATGCGTACATAGATACATAGGTACGTAGATGCATACATACAATCATACATAATCATACATACGCACATACATACATACATACACAAACATACGTACATACGCAGATACATACATGTATTGTTGCTCATTACTTACCACTGTTATTGTTGCTATTGTCACACTCTACTATAGTGCCCACGATGTCTTGTTGTACATGTGCTGGCAAAAAGATCGTGCCTGTGATGCCGACTTCCGGGCATGGTCGACCTGAAGCTGCAGGGTTCACCAAGCCTCACCCACTGACACAAAGAAGAAGGACGGGATAGCTGAATCAACACATGAAATATCCAAACTGACGTATTGACTCAGGCGAGGAGGAACCAACACGAACATATCATCACACTTCTTTTGCAGAGGCATTAATGAAACGTGATCAAGTCAGAACCATAGGCGGGCGCGCGTGGGAAACTGCACATTGCTCCCAACTCCCGACTCCCTTTGAAGACGGTACCATCAGCGACAGGGCGACTCACGCTGCAACCATGAATTTTGTGCCTCACACTTTCTCCAGTCTGATGCAATCCGGCCACGTTCTCGCACCGCATCAGGCCCCCGTACTTGGAAGGGAAAGTGGCGATATCACCTGCAAAGGGGAGTGGTAAATCAGTCAAATCGCGCGGGAAGCATTAAACTCTTGGGTGTGAGGTTGAGGACATCTTCAAGCGACTGGCACAGCGACTAATTTTGCGGGCGATTCCTCTGAACTGGATTGTGGCACAGATCCAGGGCTGTCGATTCCCCGAGCCCCAGGACACCCAATGGAAAACATCGATCGCCATCTTGGCCCATCGCCGACCGCGTACACGCCGGGCGTTGACGTCTGCCTCAGCTCCCCGTCTCATGATCCCGCTGAGGAGAAGAAGACGACAAGCACAACTGGACAAGAACCCTGGTAGCAACTGCCAAAGTCGGCGCGGGTGCTCGTCACGTTTTTCAGGGACCTGACATGTTGGCGTCGACGACGATGCCCCGTCGCTCAAGCTTTAGCCTGAGATCCAGAGTCAGAGAGTCAGTGTTCTGTTCACTAGTTCAGCTTTCGTTTCAAGGTGCGAAGACCTCCCACCGAGTGGAGCAATTCGGAATAGCTGTTTCATGCTGCATGAGTCAATGAGGCTTCCGTAACTCTCGTACTAGGCAGTGCATGGCAATGCCTTGCGTGCAACTTCGCTAAGTCGAGTGAGAAGGAAACTCGAGGTCGTCTTGCTCGTGCAAGCTCCTCAGCTTCGGACCCTTCGCAGAACTCAACATTCGGGGCGGCACCAATGCCGACGACGGCCAGATTGCATTCCAGCTTGTTCCCGGACCTGAATTGCTCTATAAAGGTCTTCCGTCCCGAAGTTCCGAACAGAAGCAAAGGCTGAGCCGCCAGCTTGAGGGTCAGCCCTGACAGCGTGCCTCCATCACCACTGAACTCGGTCACCTGATCGCCTGAAGGTTACCGGATTTCAACGGAAACACATAAAGAAGGGACAGCGACGACTCGAGGTGCAGACACACATAGCTTGAATCTAACGCGAGAACCAATGTGCCAACATACTTTGTGAAGGATGGCAAGATTTGAGTGCAAGTGGCGATATGGTGGAACGATGTACAATGATGCAAGCATTTGCAAGTACGCATAGAGGGATGACTGGACAATAAGACTGCAATATTTGAACTTCCACACTTCTGATCTCGAAAACCTCGCTGCCAACCCCGTTGGATCTACGGGAGGCTGGTGCTCTTCATGCTGGTAGCTGGGCTGCAAGTACGCAGTGCGAGATGGCTTTGACTTCCAACGAGTTCTGGTAATCTGCAGCAGGACTGCTTGCAAACCTCGCGCAACGCTTGAACAGTAGTGCTTCTGGGTTTGGGAGTCTGCTCGCGATTTCGAGACCAACGATGTATTTTTCGAGGGCTTTGGCTTTGATGGCTTCCAGTACGAATCGTTTTCAAACACTGCTGCGACTCGCCCTAGCCACAGGAACAAACTGATAGGCATGACAGCACGTGCCTCACAGTGGCACTGATGCTCCAAAAGACTGAGTCATCTTGAGGCCATACCCCTAAAATTAGCCTAAAATCATATCAGCATATACTGGTATTGTTCGAAGTACCCTTCAGACTGGGCAAAGCTAAGCCGGTTCCACAACAAATCCGCTGACCAGGCCTTTCAGAAATTTCACTCCGCGTGCAGTGTACTGCTCCTGTGGCAGGCTCACACTCGAACGGACTGCAAACGTACAAGACCACTAAATCTAAATGTAGTGGCATGCAAAGCATACACACACATACACACTCACACAGAGATGCAAACAGACAGACAGCCAGGCAGGAGGCAGGCGGACAGGACACCTACACATACAGAGACACAGAGACAGACAGACACACACACACACACACCAACACAAGCAAAAAAAAAACAAGCAAACAAACACACGCTTTCTGAAACACACACACACACAAACAGAGACACGCAGACACAAACAAACGCACATGCACGCACGCACACACACACACACACACACATACACACACACACACCCGCGCGTGCACGCACTTTGAATTTGACGAACATTGCCGGAAATATAGACATCGCATGTGCCATGTCCATAGTACTGATGTCTTTAACATAGCTCTTGGTTCAAATATGAGTAATGTTTCAACTCTTGCTTTATCTTTACCGGTGCTGATAACATAGTTGAGATTGCAAATCTTACTTTCGTTGCTGGTGCCAGTTTGGCTGGTCGAAACAGTACTGCTTGCACAATCTATCCCACTGCCAAACATTGAAAAAACACCTGGAATCTGTGACAACTGCTACAAGTAGGATGCTTATACTTATGAAGTGTACGCTGTTGGCTTTAAGGTCAGAGGCTTCCACAAGGATCCCCCGCCTGCTGCTCCCCTCTATAGTCCCTCACTTGCAAGAGTCAGCCTCCTGCTTCCCTCCTCATGGCCCACAGGCCACACAGGGGGCGAAACTTGGCACTTGTATGGCTGTTTTCGTGCTAAGTCCCGCCATTCCCTGCTTCCGCCACGCCCCCGGCCCGGGGCTGTGTGAGTGACTTGGAGGCCAGGCGGACGACGTGAAGCGATTACAAGTAGTACTAGTACTTGAACTTGTTTTTCATAGTACTGTACACATCACTATAACTATGATTACCAGCATAAGAATTATCATTGTCATGGTCATGCATATGATTATGACGATGGCTCTTGTCATTTTGTTGTTGCTGGTGCTATTGTTGCTGCTGTGGTTGCTGTTGGTGCTGCTACCGATGATGCTGTTGCTATAATCGCTGTCAGTGGTGCTGTTGTTTCTTGCTGTCGCCGTGGCGATTGCTGGTGCTGTTCCTGTTGTTGTTGTTGCTGCTGCAGTGGGTGCTGTTGCTTTTGCTGTCGGTGCTTTTGCTGTTGCTGCTGTTGCTGTATCTGTTGCTGTTGGGTGGTGGTGGTGCCGGCTGTGGCGATGGCGGTGGTGAAGCTGGATGGTGGAATTAAAGCTGGATAAAATCATGAGCATTCTCTTGATTGCAATGGCGAAACAGTCAACCAACAATGGACCCTCCTCCTGTTGAATCAATATTACTAGTGACCGTCATCATCATCATCATCATCACCGTCATCATCATAATTATTATCACCAGCATCATCGTCACAACTTGGCAGCTCATTCCTGGCCCATGTCCTCCAGCCACTGGCCCAGCTCGGGATTGAAGAGACGCGGGATAACATGAGCCTGGATGGACCGTTCAGGGATCTGACCTCATCTGTCATTCGAAGAATGTTTCCCCGATTCGTGAGCAGATGGAAACGAGTTAGTTGTTAGTTCTCAGCTCGCGAGAGACAACTTCGACTCAGATTGCTTCCGAGACTTTAGGCTGAGCCTTCTTCACGCGAAACAGATGGCAAGTCACGGAGCGGACGCATCGTTCACTGACCGTGCAGATGTCGGCATCATTATCCCTGGATTACGTCAGCTGCACTTGGAGTGCAGCAAGTGATGCACTAAGTTCTTGTGGTATTCCTGTGACAAAAGTCATCGTCCCATGCATTGTAAACAAGCCAAACCTCGAACACTGAACACTGGCAGCTGGTATGAGTGCTTGCAGCAGTTTTCATAGTCTAGTGATAACACAGTCCACATGAAGTCGTAGTACAGGAAGAAAGTCACTTGGTCAAGCATTTGCATCGTAGGAACTGTGCATGCAGACGTGATTGTGCAACAGCGACCAGCTGATCTGGTTGGAACTCTTGGAAAATGTTGAGAAAGTGATTTGCCCACACCAGTTGACTTGACCCCAATAGCCTCCGGAAGCACGACGGTAGTGTCCACCTGGGCATATTTTGCGAGCGCGTGATTGTACGTGTGTATGTTTTTACATACACTTACAGGTTTATACCGTCATATATATATATATATATACATATACACACATGTATATAAACATACACATGCATACTTTATATTAATATGTATTTACTGTATATCAACATGTATTGACATATATATATATATATATATATATACATGTTTGTTTTTTGTCACTATGTATGGTTGCGTTTGGACTCCCCCACTTCCCCACCCACCCAGCCCCCCCAAGCCATCCGGAAGCTCAGCAACCACAAATAGAAATAACAATGGAAGTAAATACAAACACACACACACACACACACACATATATATATATATATATATATATATATATATATATTTATATCTATATTTATACACATACCTATTTTTGGTGGTTTAAGTTTAATTGCTCGGCATGTAATTTCAGCAAGGCAGGCCGTTAACATCTCGTGCAAGCATGATGACTGCAGATTTGTTTGCGTCATTGTACGTCCGTCTTTTCAGCTACTTCCCTTCCCAGTATGCAGAGTACTGGTGCCTCAACAGAGCTCTTTTCGTGCTCCGCAGCAAAGCTTCGGTTTGGGCATGAGCCCTCGTTCTCGAAAGCGCTGCGATGTTCGACGCAGGCTAGGGGTCGGTTCGACGTCGGTCGCGAAGATCAGGCCAGCCCATCGCTCGGACCAGTCCGGCTGCAGTTGAGAGCAGGGATTCCATGCTTCGCGGTTCGATGGCTTTCGGCTTCAGCCTGAGGTCCGGTGAGTTCTGGCATGTCGGCGGCTGCAACAGTTCCATTCGGAAGCGTCAGCGTCAGAAAAATGAGTCCCTGCAAGATTTCAACGTCTATGAAGTAAGCCATGACTGAATGACCAAGTGGGTGCATGCACTCACTGTCCACTGCACTGGATTTGCAAATATAATCAATAATAGGGCCCACAACTTCCATCAAAGGTGCCCTGGCTGTTCTTGGAGGGACCGACAGCAAAGATGGGACTGAAGGATCTCTCTACCTTCCAGCTCGATAGTAGCTGGCCCAGGTTCGGGCAATTGTAAGGTACCCTTGTCCCCTTCTCGGGCTCGAAAACGCAACATTAGTCGCACATCGCCTGCAGACTGCCACGCGAATCTTATGCAGCATCATGTCGAAAGTATGCCGGTATGCCCTACCTTCCCACTGTGGATTTCTTGCAGGCAATCAGCTCCGGATCGCTAACTTCTCTGTCTCTCTGGAGCAGGGCTTTGTCGTCGAAGGCCAAGCAAATGCAGCAAGTGAACGACCTGCAAAGAGTGCGCTGTGCAGGAGTGTTACGCGCAGGCTCGCACGAACTGCGCGGCAACTGGATTCAGGTTGTGTGTTAATGACTGCCACAGTGCCTAATCTTGAGGCTGGTGTGAGGCTGTTAGGAAGGGCAACTCCAAAAATGAAACCAAGTCTTAGACATAGATCTCAACGCAGAGTCCCAGTTTTTGGAAGGTCATTTCGTGGAGTGGGTTGCTGAATCCCGATGAGCACTCGAATCGAACCAGCAGATGATTTATGAGCGCAAGATGCAGTCCGTTTGGAAGGTGCAAATGCCTCATGCTGTCCCGGGTTTGGGGCAAGCGCAGCCTCTACTAGAGGACCGGAGTCTTTGTGGCTGTTATGCACAGTTAAGAGAATCAGATCGAACAAGTATACCAAATCCGGATGGTGCGAAAAGGCAGGCCTAGCTGTGGACGATGCAACGCTGCACCGCCCAAAAATTACGTACTTGGTACCAAGGCCTTACAGTCAAACATCTTGTCTCGCAGGGGTCAGCATCAAAGTTGTCCAAGAAGAGACTGGGACTTCTGCATCGGGGTGTCTTCCAGGCACGGGGCATCCGGCTTGACAATGAAGCTGCAGAAGACACAAGCGAGGAGGTTTGGACACGTTTAAACATTAGACAATTGACATGCGAAGCCTTTCATTCTACTTCGCTGCAATGCAGCATGGCCCCTAGCCCGCCGAATGGGCCTGCCGTCCCACTGTGTGGACAGGCCTCGCCGAAGGAGCGTGTTCGGAATTGCGCTAGCTAGGACTGAGGAGGAGATCTATAAGCCAGTGACAACCAAGCCATTGGTTTTCCGGTTGGTGATGCTGATTACCACTAGTTCACTAGGACTTTTACTGATGGCAACACAGACAAGTTTCAAAACTGAATAAACAAGCCAAGAACAGGAGCAGCGAATGCAGGGTGGGAAATAACCATCAAAAGCAAACCTAGACAGGGTAAAACTGATCAGAATAAACAAAACAGGTATCTACCTAACACATGTTGACTGTGCATGTGTATTTGCCGACAGCTCTCCACCTTTGTGTAACAACAACGGCACCAGTAGTCGCCGTCGCAGTGGTAGTACTAGCAGCAGCAGGAGTAGTAGTAGTAGTAGTAGAAGTAGAAGTAGAAGTAGAGGTAGTAGTAGTAGTAGTAGTAGTAGTAGTAGTAGTAGTAGTAGTAGTAGTAGTAGTAGTAGTGGTAGTAGTAGTAGTAGTAGTGGTAGTGGTAGTGGTAGTGGTAGTGGTAGTGGTAGCAGTAGCAATAGTAGTAGTAGCAGTAGCAGTAGCAGTAGCAGCATCAGCAGCGGCGGCAGTAGTGGTGGTCGTCGTCGTAGCAGCAGCAGCAGCAGCAGGAGTAGTAGCAGTGGTAGTAGTAGTAGTAGTAGTAGTAGTAGTAGTTGTGAAAAGCGGAGGATTCCACTCAACTCTCGGTCACAAAGCCCAAGGCAACCAATCGTAGATCAAAGCAAAGCAGCAAGGCAAAGCAAGGATGATCAGAGATTAAAGCCGTAAGTTTGACGCTCAGCGGAAAAGCAACACTAGAACCCCCAGGCGCTAGCGGACCTTTTGCTGGACCTGACGCAGGGTCGGTCTTGAGCAGTCAAGCTGCGTAAGTGAGACAAAGTTGGCGTGAATCCTAACTCCTAACCAGGACACAGAAGCAAATGTACGCATGTCCGTGACAAATCACACCCCCCTCGACGCGAGCTCACGCGTGAGGAGAGCGGAGTTTAGGAAAGTCACGTACACTGATTGTGCACCGAGCCACACCTCTTCCGGTCAGCTAAGCTTAAAGCAATAAAGAACCATTAGATGTGGGTCGGTCTCTGCATCCGGATCAAACCTATGTTTCACTTCTGTACATACGCAGCCTTTTGTGATCGTCAGGCGCATAGCGATATGCCGTGTGATCGTTGGCAATCGGATGTTCCATCGGATCCATGCGGGGGTAACATATTAGACTCAACGCGCTCAGGGTGTAGACTCGGCAGCATCGAGTGTCCGTGAAAAGAGAGGGACACACGAGGAAAATACCATGGCTAGCCATTGTACCCCTGTGGGTCTTCTCAGCGCGGCGCAGGCAAGGAATGCTGAGGAAGTAGCGGAAATTGTGTCATAGCCGGGTTTCACCATCAGAATCCGCCTGACCCCATGGACGTGTAGAAAATGGGTCAGAAAGATTCAACCGGATTCACCTTGCAGTGACACAATGCATCGCCACGTAGGTCGACGGTCGTTACCTACGAGTGGTGGGGCTACGGGTGCGGTCCTTACTTCCTCGTCCGGAACCGCCCCTTCCTCGGTTTCCCTTATCACCCTTTCCTCGGCCTTTCTCCTGCTTTCCTTTTCCTTTCTCGGCTTTCCCTTTTCCTTTGCCTTTCGTCGGTTGCCTCATTTCATCAGCTTCATCGATGAGGCCTGCCACGTTGGATCCTGTTCGGGACTTGCCCTTGGCCGTTGTCTCTTTGGCCGGACCCATCGTACGAGATCGTGGCTCTGACGAAGCAGTATCGGAAGGAGGGGGCGGCGCGGCGTCTGTTGCTTCAGCAACGCGCTGTTGTGTGCGTCCCCGCGCCTCTGCATTCGGAATCACTCGACCCGGTGCCGGTCGCACGATCGAAGGAGCCCATTTGTCATCGCGGGGCAACTTCGATGGTGGATTCGATGCAGTGCGATTGCTTGGCGCAGGGAACTTTGGGTTAATCCGCTCTTGTGTGGTAGCGGACGTACTCTCGGGCGAAGCATCTCCCCTTGTCCCTGCATTCGCGGCATTGGGAGCAGCCACTCCAGCCGCCTTCATGTTGACATCATCATCGGGATTCGCATTCATCGCAATAATGACGCTGGCGGCCTTCTTCCTAAGGATAGGAAGCGTGTTCGGTAAATGATACATGCGAATGACTTCCTCAATCGTCGGATTGTCCAGATCTGGTTCCTGGAGCCGAGTCCTCATTCGCAGTACCGAGGGCAGCCTCATCTGATCGGAATATGGTGCCCTCCCTGACACCCTCAGTGTCTCTCCATCAGGGTGAGCAGCGCTGTAGCCCGATAGCCGCTGTGTCTTTCGAGTCGGTAGATTCGACGGCGGCGGCATTTCGCGAGGCGGGGGCGGATTCGTCTCAGGAGCGATGCCTCCGAGATGCTCCCGTCCGCGGCGCTTTGGCTTCGGATCGGGTCGGTTCACCCGTTCCAGCTCACTATCATCCTCATCCTCTTCTTCTGGAGGAACGGGAATGGTATGAGCTTCGGGAATCGATGTTTGCCTTTGCGCGGTGACCTGCACTCTGCGCTGAGGCGTTTCACTGCGTCGTTGTGCTTGGCGAGCTGCAACATCGAATAGCTCGTCAGGCTCTTCCAGTTCATCGGGCATAGCCTCGAAGACATCATCGTCCCTTTTCATCAGAATCGGGTCAGTGCTCTTAGCATCAGGGAGCTGACCCTTCACTCCTTCAACAAGAGTGAAGAATGTCTTCTCGGTTTCGCGATCCTCATCGAAACATTCCTTTATCTTGTGAGCGTGATCGCGAACAAATTCCTTGAACTCCTTACGCGTTTCATCGGGCGTATCAGGATCGTCAAGGAGTGCGGTATTCCCCTCCTCGAGAATCGCGAATCGGGGATCAGCATGGTGCGGAATGAGCTTCCGTCCCAAGGGGTCCAACTCACGCCAATTGATAGCTTGAACGTTGGGGTCATCGTCCCCTTTGCCTTTCCCTTTGGGCTTCTTAGTTGCCGCAGCGGCTCCCTCAATCTCCTCTTCTTCATCGCCGGAGATGTAGCCAGGCTCACCTTTTATCGGGATGCCGTAGCATGTTGTCAGTGTAACCTTGGCCAGGAGCGCGGAAAGGCTCTCACTATCGACACGCATGTATCGCTGATTCTTTTGCGTGTCCGTGATAGTGGCACGGAACTCATCCAACGTATCAAATTCGGTGGAGAGTCGACTTCGCCGTCTCATCTCCAGATTGGCGTTCTGCAGAGGCAGGTGCGCAAGACGGATTTTCTCGGCCATATCTGGATCGACGGTGTACTCGATTGTCTACCCTGTGTAAAAGGGGGAGAGATATCCACGCGACAAGCAAACTCGGTAAGCGCGTTGGCAGTGGATCGACCATCGTGCATAGTAGCATAGTGGCTTTTCGCGGCACGTGGCGAATACCGCCCCGAAGTGCTTGACAATCGTGGTTGCACAATCGATCGACTGCGAATTGAAGAAATCTTCCACGCCACATCGAGCCTCCTTGCCAGTGATCCCGGCAACAAGCCTTTCGATAGAGATGTCCAAGCGAATGGCGCCTTGAATCGTTCCGCGCACGCTCCTCTTGAACAGTTCCACTTCAGTCGGCGATGTGTCAACTGCGGTGCACTTGATCGGCGGCACCCCGAAGAATGCGGTCTGCCTATGGTCCTCGGCGAGAGACCTAGACACCGGGAAGTTTCTCAGCTGTTTTATCGCAGGATATTCGTGAAGCTGGAACTCGGTCAGCTTGTTTCGTTCGATAAGCTCGTTGAGCCACTCAGCATGACTTCCGTAGTATTCAACCTGGAAGGGATTCACAGGATCGGCATAGAACATCCCGTCAGGATAGTGAATCGGCTTAGTGCAAGAGTGGCACATGTGGAGACCAACCGGGAATGAAGCTCCGCACATGGGGCAGTCGAAGCTAGCGAGCGGCCACGTCTCCCGCTGGTGCTTTCCTCGCTCGGGGCCAGTGCCAAACTTCGTACCTCCGATGTATTTGAAGGCCGTGTTGAACACTAGGGATCCCGAGTCCATGAAGTATGCTATCGGCATACAGGCGAGAGGGATACTGTCTTTGATCGCGTAGTATCCTCTCGGATGGAAGTTAATCGGATTGATACCCGCCGCGACCATGTGCAAATCAATGGCGAACACGATCATGCGGTTGGATCCCAATCCTTCAGGGAGCATTGATTGTGTCGACGCGGTATTCGAGAGCGTCTCACGCTTCGGGTTCATTCGGACGTTCATGTACACCTCTTCCCACTCGTTGTTGTTCCCAGATCCGGGAGCATACGGGAGCAGGGTGAGGAACAGCTGTCCCTTTGGAGGGTTGACTTTGCAATCGCTCATGTACCCGAAGAATTCGCGAATCGTTGCGCAACCCCATCCGTATTGGGGATGATGTCGGGCCACATTCCTCTTCCTCTCGCCACTAACATAATGGTCTTGAGCGAGCTGAACGAACGGCCCGTGTTGGCACTTGGTCAGCAGTCGGAATCGGTTAAAATTATCGGGGCCGACACCGTAAGTTGCTCGGATGCCAACAAACTGAGGTCTTCCATCATCGTTGATCGTAGAGTAGAAGAACTCAAACATTCGATTGTTGTCCGTCCGGGCAATCTCCATGATGCATTGAAGAGTAAGCTCGGATGGTTCATCGTTCTCATCCAGGACATTTGTCTGGAGAAGAATCCGGCCACTGGCTTCTCCGGCGTTGGCCTTCATGTATTCCCTCTCACGCTCCATGTACATCGGGATGACATCGAAAGCGATGATGCCACTCTGATCGAAGTGTGAATACAAGGGAATGCCCCTCTCACGATCCTGAGGGCGATTCTGCGGTCCACCGGCAGTAGGGGAAGGATACTCCTTCGTTTGTGTCAGCACTCGGAACATCAGCTTCCGCACCAAATTGATCATTCCTGCGTCCGGAATCGTGGCAGCGGGAATGTTTTGTGCGTCGTCGATAAGCAATCGACTGCGTGGCACAGATGTTCCGCCGACAGATCGGTATTTGGCCTCTCTGGCATTGTAGGCCCGGACAGCGTCATGAATGTTGCGGCAATCCTCGTAAGACTCCGGTCGGAGGAAAGAATCGTGATCCCCTTTGACAGGTTTCTTGTGAAGTGCCACGTTCAAGTACACTGTCTGATTCGAGGAGAGCATGGCGAATCGTCGCCTCGAAAACTTGCGCTGTTCGTCGGTCGGTGGGAGGCAGGTCGCTGAGACCAGTCGACCATGGACAGAGTCATCGATGCCCATGTCGAGTCCCGGAACGACGAAATCCGGTAGCGCTATCGGAACGGACGACATCTCATACTGTACGACCGGTGCTATGGAGTCGAGGCCTCTCTCTGGCATCTGGTCGGGGCGATGAATCGTTGTCGCCTTGATACCAGGGCCCTCGATTCGGCAGTTTCTCGGATCGCTCGCTGCCTGATCAGCGGCAGTACTGGCTGGATCAATATCGATATCCGGCCCACGAGCACCGGAGAGCACGGCTCCCTGAGCTTTCATCACATTCGGAGAACTGGAACGCACGCCGTGTTCCGGTGGGTTTTCAGCGGTTCGGGCAGCTGCCGGGGACCTCGTCTTGCAGCTCCTGTCCGCTACCCATTTCGGCATCCTCCTCATGTTTCTGCTCAGGCTTCTGATCGGCCGTGTCATCCTCCATATTGCTATCATCGTCATCCTCCTTTGCACTCTCTTCGGACGCCCTTGGAGGTGCTTCCGCTGTTGGCGGAGGAGGAGGAGCCACGTTCGGCGGAGGAGGCGTCGTCGCACGCTCAGAAGCGACACTAGCCGGCTCGGTGGACGGAAGATCGTTGTCTGCCGCACCTTCACCCAGGCTACTCATGGCGCCAGAGGCATCACTGCGACGCGAGGAGGAAGCAGCTATCGATCGGGCATGCTTCTGGAACTCGCTCGCAATGAACCCTGCAGTGTTCCGCAGCTGTACCGCGACACTGCGCTGGAACTGGGACAACCTATCGTCCCCAGTTCGGCTGGTGGTGCCGTAGCTCAGATCATCGGTGAGTCCCATCAGGCTCTGTACCGGATCCTCATCCGGCTTACGGAATTCGGTCACCCGTCGCTGCATAGCGAAGCCCGGCGGCAGCTTGAGGTCTTCTCTCGTCAACCTCGCTGCGGTATTGTTTACCAGGGCTACCCGCATGGACTGAATGACTTTTCCTGGGGTAGGCGCAATGAGGTCCGGCCAATCATCGGGCGTCGGAACCTCAAGGTCCTCAGGTTTGAACACCATCTGTTCGAAGGACATCGCACCCATGCCACGGTGTCGAATGGCAATCTGCAACGACTGGTAGGTATTGAGAAGCGATCGAGCCATACCATACGTTGAGGGAATGTGCGGATGGAACACAGGGAGGGTTGACATGCTTGCAACCCCGGCATCAAGGTTGGAAATGATCGCACCAACCTTGGCCTCAAGCTCCCCCCTGTTTCCATATTCTGGGGTCCATCGTGCATCGATTGCTGACACAGTCTCACCAGTATCTCGGTTGATAAGCACAGGCGTAAATCGGTCGCTGGCCATCTCCCTGATGAGATTGCTGTTCGATTCGACTCGACGCCTGCCTTGGGCCAACCGGTTCGTGACAGCGTCGAGCGCATAGTCACCCGGAGGGTACATGGCACCCTGGAACACATTGTCATCGCTAATGTTCGGGTCCATGATCCTGGCGAGCCCATCGGCAATGGATCGAAGGTGTTCGGCGTTTTCAACGCCTGTGGCACCCTTCGCCACTTCAGCGATATGTGCCTTCATCTTCGCAGCCTGCTCACGGCGAGCCTCAGCCTCACTGACTTGGCTTTCGTAATGAGCATAACTCTGGCGGTTCTCGGTGGTGGGCCCTGCGGCTCCCTCGCCACCGATCGGATTCGGCTTCTTCATTGCGGATAGGGGAATCGTCGGCACGGCAGGCGGTCGAGCGGCGTCCCGATTGGCAGCGACAGTTCGCTCCGCATCACGAGGAGTAGGCATTTGCTCGAATGCATCAGTCATTTCTTCGAGAAGCTCATTGAACTCCTCATCGGATTCCTCCTTCTTGGCCTCTGGCATTGCCGTATCGCCATCCCCTTGCTGTTCGTCATCATCGGAACTGCTGCTAGATTCCTCATTGTTCGTAGCAGCCGGGGCAAGGCCGGGCGACACAGGCATTGCCTGGCCGGGCACAGGAGTAGCGGGCAATACGATCGGATCTGGATGACGAACACCCGGAAGATCCGCCAACGTCCCCGGCTCTTGTTTAACCGGATGCTTGGTCGCAGCTGGAGCTGTGTCACCGGCCATATCTTCATCATCGTCTTCATCGAAGCCGAGCTGACTCATATCAACAGTCTTTGTGGGTCCATGATCGGGACCGCGATCTGCTCCTTCGATTAGGTCCTGCACCGTGGAGTGCACAATGGCCTTCACCGCGCCCTTCGGCCTTTCTTCTGGGACTGGGGTGCGCTCCCACATCTTATCGGCAGCGGTCTGATACTCTCGGCGGGTCCCATAAGATGGAAATCGCGCGAGAGCCGCAAGCGTGAACATCGAGCAGATACGAGTACACAAGACCCCAATCGTCTTGGACTCGTGCATGATGTGATATCCCCTCAGGAACGGCAGTCCCTCCAGGATAGCGTCAAATGACAGGGTGAGGAAGTTGGACCTTCTGATCGTGTCCCAGATCATCCTCATCTCCTCTCTGTATTTCTCGAAGAGATGGCCTGGCAGAGTCGGAAGGTATCCCATGCTCGGAGACACTGGTCCGCAGAAGGACACTGATCCGTAGATCGTGTTGTACTCCTCGAGAGCATCCCGTGCAGTCGACTTGGCGTATTGTGATCGTGCCAGATCGATGTCACCGGTAAGCTTACTCCAGCCCTGGTCCAGCTTCCACAAATCCTCTCCTCTCCAAAGGATGAGGATGTGCACATTCGACGGCGGGATAGAGGTGTCGCTCTGCATCAGCGCAAGCGTATCGATCATATCCTTGAGCTTATAGCCCTCATCGAACGCCTGCACGCGCACCTCAGATTCCGGGAATCCGAAACTCGTCAGCGCGCTTTTCAGATGGGCGTTCATCTCACCATCGTGCCAAGATTTGGCGGCCCTGAAGGTCAGCAGACCGTCGTGCATGATGACGAACCTCTGCGGCTTACTGGGTACCGCCGGCTTAATCGTTGGCGGAGCACCCCCAAATGCAATCGTGGAAGCCATGGCCGTGACCGCTCTGATCCCGTGGATCGAGATTGCCACAAGGGCGTCGGCCGGACTCCAGACAGGCGCGCTAATGATGTCCGTTGTACCATCTTCATCGTACTGGATACCCTTGATGCTCTTGGCGGGCATGTAGCCGAAGTTGCCAAGCATGACAATGTATGCCTTTCGGTAGTGCTTGCACCATGCCTCCCATTCCTTGGATGGTCCTCCGGCAATCGTCTCGAGCCTTGAAGGCTTGGGCAGACCCTGGCTCCCTTCCTCTCCCAGGATGGGTGCACGCAGCTGGAAGAATGGCGCAAGCTCAATTCGGTAGCTAGAAGACTGAAGCTCGGACAGTAAGGCATACCTTCCACCGACGGTAGCGTTCTCGCTCGTTCCGTAACTGTCAGGCATCCAGTGATTGCGTCGAAGCACTGACGGGTCGACGGTGATTCGCTCCGTCGCTTCACCACTACCCGCCGTGGCCTGATCATCAGCCGCGGCTGCCCCAGGTTGCTCTGTCTCGGTAGAAGCAATCTGTTGGGTAGTGCTGCCTCCTTGAATCGTGAGGTCTGCAAACTCGACATTATCGTGAGCGACAACGTCTCCCAGCAGCTTCAGGATGCGAGGAACGATCGGGCTCGCCTCCATCCACGGGTGCCAGGCCACGGCTTTCGTTCCGTCGGCACTGAGGAATCGGTGTCCGTGGATGACGTAGCTCGGGGAGGTCGAAACCCCTTTCTCGCGGTCGTCCATAAGTCGGAATGGCCTGAATGCGATCCCGCACAACTCAAGAAACCTAGTCCCGACGCGGAGCTGCTTCTGGGATCCCCCCAGCTTCTTTGTCGTTCGGCTGTGGCTGTTCACCATAGTCCGGGATACGCAGATCATCACTTGGAACCAGTATCCCCCACCGAGGTACGTGCCAGACGCATAGCTGCCGGCAGCCTCGGGGGCGTTTCCAGTCACCCAGACGCAGGGTTCGTGACTTCCATGATCGTCCGTCACGTAATCCTCTCCGAACAAGCCTCCGTGTGCAAGGATCGACCAGAGGTATCGGAGATTCGTTCCGTGGAGGAACGTTTCCTGAGGATCATAAATGCCCGAATTATCGCTGGGACATACACCCATCCGTCAGTCGGGTGGATAGTGATCTGCGAAGCACCGTCCTCGTAGGCCATAGGGGTGCTGGCTCCCCAGTTGAGCGTATCATCGATGCTGACGCATCGCCCAGGGTAAGTATCGGCCAATGCCTTCAGGAAAGAGACCCACCCGCTCATCAACGGGGTATTTCCATCGTCGTCTTCGTTGCGGAAGGCGGCCACTTCCCCGATTCCGTTCGCATCCACGGCAGGAAGATGGTAGCCATGTTCCTTGCGATCGTTCTCGAGATGCATGGCCTGCTCCTTTTAAAAAGTCCAGCGTGGGAAATCGGTTAAGAGCCTTGATCGCCAGAAACGATCCAAGGAGAAATGACAGCGTCGGCCGGAGCTGCAGAAAACCCTTGAAGAACTTCACAGCCTCAGCCGGGTTGACCGTTTCCCTGGACATCTCAGTGGGTGACAACTTGGCGAGGTCGTTTTGTTTGATACTCGTATCGGTCCTCAGCCATCGCTGCTCCGCAGACGAACTGCTGTACCCCATGAGATTTCGGTTCCAGCTCGCCAGAGGCGACGGGATATCCCTTAAAGCTCTGCGCTTGGAAGTGCATACAGTGGCGAGCCAGGGCCATCGTGAGGTCCATTTTCTCGCGGACCCCTGCGGCATCACCTGACAGTGTCGCCACTCGGGAAAACGCAAGAGCGCACATCACCCTATATCGGTCGACGAAGTCCATAAACTCCCGAGGGTACTGCTTCCTCTGCTTATCCGCGAGTGGATGGTTAGTGAGGAGGAAGGAGTCAATCAGCTGATGCAGCCTCTGATCGAAACCGTGGTTGCATGCCAGCTGGTCGAGGCGTTGCCAGACTGAGGCTTGCGGGATCTCTTGGACCCCGATCTTCAGCATCATCGCCTTCATCCTCAGTCCTATCGGAATAGCCTCGGGACGTCTTCCGTCCCCGGTAGACTCGTCTCTCGGAGTCTGGGTCGGAACTGGGGCTTCATCGGTGCTCAGCCTGCCCCGTGGGAATCGGTGGAGCAGGAGGCCTTACCGTAGCCGGTGCACTCGGAGCGCTCGGAAGGCCTTCCCCGCATGGCGAGGGAGCAGCCTTCTTCGGTGGCTGCGGCGGCTGCTTGTTCTTTCCCATCGTTCAGCGGCGGCGGCAGCAGCGCGGAGAAGTTCGCAGCCCGTGGCAGCTACAACCTGTCCTAGCAGGGAGCGCAAGTGGGCTATAGATCGAGTCGTAGTAGAGGTGGTCTGTGATGGTCGGTTGACGATGGTGATCTATGATCGTTGTACCTAGAGCCCCACACCTAGTTGCTATAAAGTGTGAGTGTGCAAGTGTGTGTGAACATGGCCTTAGCGTCTTTGTTTAAGCAATCGGCATCGCGGATTGCTGTGAGCCAAAAGTCGCAGAGTTCATGAAATGTTCAAGCACTGCCCACAAAGCAAGTCGAAGCTCTTTCGGGTCGGCCCTCTTGGCCTTCTTGTGATTGCATGCAAAACGTGACATGAAAATAGGCCCAAATCGGGCAGGCATGAAAATCTCACACATCCATGCATGCTGAGAACATCGATCAGACGAGCACGAACAGAGCTTAACAGGGCAAAGCTCGTGCGATTCAGACCATCGTCTTACGTACTCCCTACCCCATAACGGGTTTCCCTTCGGTAGCACAAGGAACACGGGGATACCGGACGATCGGGCAGCGGAAGCACACCCGAGTAGTTTCTTGGCTTCCCACCCTTTCTCCTTTAGGTCGCCCCTCATTTCTTTCCAACCCCTGTTCTTGAAACCAGCGTCCCTTTTGTTAGCGGTGCCAGCAATCGGAACAGTGACAACACATACCACAGGCGTGGGCGGAACCCTGATGTTCGAAATAGCAATCCCCTTTGCATTATCATCGAGACTGAGATTGATACTTCGAGCATGAGGGAATCGGATTATGCCTTCGCCTCCGATATGAATGCATTTTATTGCTGCTCCGAATTGGTGTGCATCGTCAATCGAAATACCCCCCTGACGAGACATATCGAAGATGAAATCGTTGAAGGGGCTGTGACCGGTTTCGAGATGTACCCCCCTGGTTGGACAGACAGAGGGGAGAGCAGGGAGAGCGGGGGCGGCAGACAGCATACCAGAGGAGATAAGAGTACCTTTACGAAAGTGACCAATAGACATGAGGTTGCGGCCCCACACTTTCGCATCAGTGCAGGCCTTCGTCAGAATATCACCAGCCTCAAACTGAGAGGGACATGTCACAAACATGAAATCCCCAGCGTGATAGCGCTCATTCAGCGCAGATATATCGATACGCTGAGTACGAGACATGTGACGCATGTTAGGATTGTGACCAGTGATAATAACGCGAATAGCGGCCTCATTGTCTTCCATGACCCGCAGTCGGAAGCGGCGACCCAACATATACTCCCACATAGAAAGAGCAGGCAGGCCCAATTTATACACTGCATGGTCAAGAGAGACAATTTCGGCCTCGGGGGTAGACTTCGACACGGAAGTCTGTTTCTTGGACAAAGCATTAAGAGGCATAAAGCTACGCGGCCCAAGAAGACACATAAAGACACCAGAGGTGCTCTTGGAATCAGTACGGTCACCCGCAAGATCGGCATCGCAGTAGAGCACAAGCTCCAGCATCTCGGGTGCGTCACCAATCCACCCATACATATTGAGATCGAGGGTAGAATTGATATAACACACCAATCGATGAAGTTTCTTGTCACACAAGCCATCCCATTTAGTGATGAGACTGGCAAGTGCCTGCACAGGACGAATGAGATCGTACCGCCCCATGCGAGCACCATACAGGATTTTCATCAGAACGGCGGCTGCACAGTCGCCGAGAACGCCCTTACCAGGAGGCACAGGCGTGTCAGCGGGATGGCCCAGCAGGCGGTTCACGGCGGGGCGATCCGGATTGGTATCGAACTCCGGTCGCGACTCATCGAGGAACGGCGTGTCAGCCGACCGTAAGGAGGCCTTATACTTAGGACCACAGAGCTCAACATAGCGAGAGACACACTGCTCCATGAATGATCGCATATCGTACTTGATCATTCGAATTTCGCGAGGACCAACAGAGCCCTGCGCGACACTGGTGTCTCGATCGCCAAAAGTTAGCTCGGGAAACGCCTTCTTAGGCTCCTCGAATCGCGTCCAGTAAGAACGCGGATCAAAAGTGCTAGGAACAACGTGGGAGAAGGTAACATGTTCACATCCCAGATAACGTTTGATGCTCGAAGGCGGCTCCAATTTGATCTTGGAAGCCATGAGCTCCCAGCCCTTGGCCAAATTGGCCTTCGGTCCACTGAGCTTAAAATCATCAACGTAGACAACGAGCATAAGATTAAGTTTGGGATGACGAAACACACTCTTCCAGTCAGGGCATTGCTCGAACCCAACTGATCGAAGAGCCTTCTCACAATGCTGTTCCCAGAAACCACCGGCATCCGGGTGCCCGTAGAGGGCCAAAACCGGATCATGGTATTTGCCGTGCCATTCGGGCAACCACCGATCCTTGGGTAATCGTACCCACGTTGCCGGGCCGCCAAGCTTAGCTTGAGTGTAGGCAGATTCGCCATCGGCAACTTGGATTTCATGACCAGGAAGAAGGCCGAAAGCGTCGGCGGCCTTTCCAGCTTCCATGGTCGCGGGGCAAGATGTAATCTCGGAGAAGATAGCCCAATTATTGCCTTCATCTTTGACGTGGCAACCCTCAAACACTACACGACCCTTAAACTTGCGATTAGGATCAGATTCCGGAAGCTCGGAATTCTTCTCAACGCATATATCGAAGATACGACCAACGTGGGCCGTTTCCCCCTTTGCCATAGCCTCGTTGGATACATCGCGCCATTCACGCACGGAGGCGTAGTCCCAACATCCCTGATTGATGAGCTTATTCCACTCTTTATCAAGGGCGGCCTTGGCCTTGGGATTAGCGGCACGTTCTTTTCGGTCAACGGGCCGTGCGACACACGCACTATAGAAGAATACCGACGAATCGGGCGATCGGTGTGAATGAGGATCAGGACGTATAGACATGGTAGGCGCTGCACCAGCAGCAATACCATCGTCGGATGATTCGACCGGCATAGACACATCACCATTGACATCCTCTGCTGTGAAGTCGAGTTCAACCGCTGCCAATACCGAAGTGTAAAATTGAACCACTGCAACGTCCTGTCCAGGCTCGATTGTAATATCGGAATCGGTAGGATTAAGGACGTCAACACCGGATTGAGTGGCCCCCTCATTGTACGTGTACATGGCCGGACAAACATCGAGGCCACTGCCGCGAAGCGGCTGGAGACGGGCTGACATACCGCCCGGGGGTTCAAACTCAAGATCCGTAACAACACAGGCGCGAGACTTGGCAGGGACGACAATACGCCCTATTGCACGCAGTGCATGACCATAATATCCATTTGCGGTTTGCACGCGGCGCTCTGTGCCATCTTTATTCGGCAGACTAGTTCGAACTTTAATCTGCGTTTTGGCAGAGGAACCAATGACGAAAACGGTCTTGCCAGTCCACCGACACGGCAGAGATCGAACATCGGATGATCTCCAGGAGTCTTGCAATGTAAACTCCGTGCCGTCGGTCATGGCCATGGTCATCCTGACATCGGTCAACGTCGCAGGATCAACAGGGCAATCCTTGACGGAGGTCGGATTAAAGCGCGCTCGGCGCTCGATCACATGAAATCTGGTGATCGTGCCAGCCGCGACATCGTGATACCAGTAGTCCTTGTCATGCCGTTCGGCACCAGACTCATAATCCGAATCGTAAGCGATATCAGGAGCGGCATCGCGAGAGTCCTCGCGCGACATAGCATGAGACTCAGCTTCTCGGCGCTCAGCCTCAACATATCCTTCCCGCTCGGCTCGATTCATGCTTCGCCAGGGTTCAGAGTCGATAGAGTTCGGTTTTCGAGACCCCTTGTATGCTCGCTCGGAACGAGGCACATTTTGACGATAGCGTAAACCCCCCTCGCCCTCCAGGACCTCAGATCCATGATAAGGAGGCAATTTCTTCTTGGGTGGGGCAAAGCCGTCATCAAAGAACTCAACAGTGCCTGTCCAATGAGTCTTGTCTTGCCGAAGGCATACCCGGTTTCGTATATCGCAACTGGGCTTTTGTCCTTGTACTGAACATTTGATATACGCACCGTGCTCAGCTTCCACGGATCAGGCGACTCCCCTATGGAACCTGGAGTCTTACTGGGATGAACCATCGCCTTTCTTGGAACAACAACGTGATACGTCCACTTATGCGCGGATGGATCATATTCCCAGTAGTCGACGCCCCCTCCATGAGAGGTCTCTGCTCGTAACTCAGCCTCGCGAGCCTGTCGAATATCTTCATCGGTCATTCGAGTCGACTCGTCAAGGGCGAAGATTTCATCGATATCTTCGAGATCGAGCATGTCGGAGGCGTCAAGACGCTCACTCGGCTTTGGCACGGTAGACTGCATCGCGGGATCGTTGATGCATACTGATCGAGTTTGTTTATCGTACACGGCCAGCATCGGAAACGTCCATCGCTCCTTGGGAGAACAGTATATCTTCTTCACCTGATGGACGCTTGCTCGCAATGCGTCGCGTTTGAAGTCCTCAAGGTCAGCGACGATGTAGTCACCGTCCCACCTGCCCCCATTCTCGAAGTGATAACCCAGAAATATACCGGGCTTGCTTGTGGGAGAGAACTTGCTGGGGCGTTGGTAGGATGACAAGCGATGATCAACATCGGTGCCCTGGAGGGATCCAGATCGATCGTCACCTCCATCATCAATCCATTCGAGATAACCGTCATCGTCGAATCCGACTTCGACGTCGATCAATCCATCATCTCCAGGCGCAGGCAGTGCATACTCCTCACCATCGCCAAGTACGACTTCATCTCTCTGACTTCGCCGAGTCTGTTTTCGTGCCGGCGTGGGATAGAAGTCAACAAGACATCCAAATGGAAGAACCTGACCGTCAAATTCGGTACCATTAAACCGCAATGTGCATGCACTCTGGCCCTCGCGCAGCTCGATGTTGCGAGCATGACAGAAGTGCTTACACGCATAAGGCCAGAATTTGGCGCTCAAACCTGCTTGCCGAAGCGCCACGCGTGCGCCATGAAGGACAAGCTTCACCTTGCTCTCGGCAATGGCATTAGTTCGAGGCATGCCAGGAGTGGAATGCTTTACAGAGATGCCAACTTTCTTGCAGGTCGATATGAACTCACGGGCTTTATCGCAGTAAATTTCCCGAATCGCAGAGGGTGCGTATCTTCTCTCCACATCCATGGAGAATGAGTTCACATCCTGAAGGTCGCCGAAGACCTGCTGGAACGCGCGAAGCGTATCGGCATTTGTTCTTCCCTTCACGGGAACACTCTCCAACCACTCGGTTGCTAGATCATAGAAGACAACAGCATCTGTCTCCCCATTATTCCCGCGATTGCCAAGCCCGTGCAACACCATAGTGTCGATGGTGACATGCTCGCCAAACTTCTCAAACCCTTTATCGCGTGGTGAGTCTTGGCGAAATGACTTAACATTTTCCATCTTAGCACGTTGGCATGCGTCGCAATAGGGATTCTTAGGTAAATGGGTCATGAGGTGACGGATGGACTTTGCCTCCTCTCTCAGGTCGCGTGCTCTCGGTTCATCGGGCGGCGACTGATGCTTAGATTTGTTAGGCACCTTCTTGGCATCATCAGGTGCATCCTTCTGGGCGCTCTTGGCACCGGGCATGTCAATATCGAGCTCTCCAATATCGTCTAGCTCGCCTCCAGGCTCCTCACCAGCAGCTACGATCTTCTCGTGAATGATGATCGGTGCTGGGAGCGCCGGATATACGCGAGGGAGATCGGGTCGACCCGCTACTACTTCGGTCTCGCTCGGAGCGAGGTATGGGATGTTGTTGATAACATCGACCTTGAGTCGCTTCCCTCTGGGATCAAAGAAGATCGGATCGCAGAAAGGTTCCCAAATAAATCGGTAACCAAGTTCCTTGCATCGTTTCCCAAGGGAAAGGAGACTTGGTGTGCTTTCAAGCACATAAGCTTCAATCAGCTCATCGAGACCGTCAATGCGCATGTGGGCAACGCCCTTCGTGTTGGTTTTCCCATTGGCGGTCCGAAGGCTATTCTTAGCATTTTGAACAATCAGATCCTTTTCCTCACGGGATAAGTCGCCGAGACCAATTAGGTCTATACCGCAACCGGAGTCGAGCATGAGTCTCCGTACCCTCTTAATAGACTTGACAGCAGCAGCAAAGACTTCGCAAGCGCTCCGCTGAGAAAGCGTGAGCTCAAGAACACAAGCATCATTTCCCAACGTCTTGGCATCAACGTCATCGAGCAAAACCTGCTCTCTCCAAAGCACAGCCTTCATATGGGCACTTCGCCTCTCGCGAGCACTATTCAGACCACGGATATCTTCCGGCCACGAATAGTTCAAATTCCTCTCGCGATTGACGGGGCCGAAGTTTGGCTCCGGGAAAGAAGACTCTATCACGCGGGTCTCAGTATTCCCAAATGATACTGTCTTCCGCTTGACTGACGGACATGCCATATCGAATGATGCGGCACAAGCGAACGCAAAGTCTCCAATGGAGGATGCTGTCATTGCCTGAGGGTTGCGGCACGCCCCTCTCAAAAATCCGAGGGCGTTGGCGCTGGGCTATCTATACCCGCCTTGATGTCGGCGCGGGCTCAGCAGGCGCAGGAGCAGCGGTAGGGGTGCTCTCAGCTGGGGCACCCGGCTTCACGTGCTTATAGGGACACTTGTCGCCTCTCGCGCAAGTGCCTCGTGCGTAATAGAAGCAAATACCGGACTCCTTCGAAATCGGTGACTGCGACCGAGGCGGGACCTTTCTTGAAATCGTAGCAGATTTCCCGCCCTCGTGGGGATCGCGATGCAGGACGAGTCGGTGCAGGAGCAGCCCTTCCCGGGCTACGGGAATATCGCATTGGCGAACCGCGCCTCGGGGAGGATCGTCTGGGCGACGAGCGTCTCGGCGAGCTCCTTCGGTACGGACTCCCTCTCCTGGAGTCACGGCGGCCAGGCGATCTGGACCCTCTCTGACCTCGGGAGAAGGATCTACGCGGACTGCCATGCGCAGGTGCAGCGTATCGCCTCTGCGCGGAGGATGATCGCGTAGCGGTGTACATCTTCTCCTGATTGCGTCGTCGGCGCCATGTTGTAATCGCATTGACGCAGACAGTTCGCAAATATGCGTAGTTCCGCACAGACACATCTCTGTCCCACAATTGCATATCGAGCTCAAGGCAACGGAACTCACGTACCTGCTCGTAGAAGAGGGCACAGAGGACAGGATCTTCAGGGCGATCGACCGAAATACCAGCGAGAACATGATCCCACCGATTGGAGAAGGCTTCAAGCCTCTCCTGCTCGGACCCATGAGTAAACCGATCAATCGTGATTTTCATGAGATCAACGAGCTTGAAAGTCGAGTCGCCAGTGACATGCGGCCGGAGAAAGTCATACAAGAGCCACAATATCTGCCTACTCCCGGGTCGCCGGTTTATCGTATGCATGCGCTCGGTTTCGGTCTGAATCTTGTTCTTCAAAGCAATAGACTTAACGCAGTCACGGAAAGCCGAATTGCATTCGTTCTCGAGCATTCCGTACTTGCACTCATCAAGAAGGTCCTCGTAGCGAGTGCCATCGGGAATCTCGACCCATGAGAGCACGTACCCGGGATCGTATGCGAAGGCATTGGCAACCCTCTCCTTCATATCAACGATCCAACGTCGCAATTGTGCGGGCTCAGGCTCAGGGTCAAGCCGGAAGGATTTACACTTTGCCTTCTTCGCATCGCTCAATGATCCATCACCCTTGGGTCCGCCAGGTCCTGAATCGTTGGGGCCAGGCGGGTTCCCAGTCTGTCTCTCAAGGCACACAAGACAGATTCTCAACGGATCTCGGCAGCAACCATTGCAACATGAGAATCGACAAGAGATGCATGGTCGTCGCACGGTGGTCGGGAAAGTTCCGGTGCAGCGCTCGCACTGGAAAGTATCATTCCCGCTCGGTCGACCGGTAGGCCGAATGCTTGGCGGATCAAGGCCGCCATCGGGCGGACCACTCCCGCCAGGAGGGCCACCACCACCAGGCGGACCACCAGGTGGGCCACCGGGCGGGCCACCACCGCCACCAGGGACATAGCCAGACCCATGATGTCCATATCCTCCGAAACCACCGCCATATGCACCCCCGTTATCGTTGGGACCATCAGCGGGCGGGGGTCCGCCAGCTCCGGGTGGCGCGGCACTGGGTGCAGGAACCCACGTTCTGGCATTGAAGGTGGGCATCGGGGGCATAGCATCGGTTGTCGCAGCAGGTCGAAGTGTTGCCGTGAGACTTGTGTTCGGCGCAAGTGTGAAAGTACCAGTCTCACTATGGAGAATCGGTGCGCCGGCACCACTGCCAATGAGATTCGATCGGCCAAGCAACGCATCATACCATCTTGAAGGCCCCTTCCCGGCCGGGACGGATCGAGTGTCATAGGAGATTTGACACGGGAAGGTAGGGCTTGGTCTGGGCTCAGGAGCGAAGCTTCGAGCTTCAGGAACAACTCGAGGAGCTTCATCGACTGGATACGGCCTGAGACTCGGAACATGACCGGAAGTCGCTCCATCGGCATTTGTGGGAGGAACGGCCGGATTCGGCGATCTCCCCGAAAATGAGGCTGACGTTTGGCCATAATTCTGTCGGACGGGCTCAACAGGATTATTTTGCCCACGACTTTCGGCAGGATGTTCGTCAACGACTCGTTGCTGCGCTCGCCTCAGAATTTCATCAAGGTTGATGCCACTCGTCTGCGAGTGCACTGTTGAGGCCTTTTCAGCAGGCGCAGCATTGCATCCCGGCGGAGAGCCATGATCAATCGGACCTAACAGTGAAGATCTCGGAATGGCTGTAGTCGATCCGCCAGGGAATAGAGCACCAGGAACTGGCGGCAGGTCCGCGGGACGTGGTAAATCCCCATCATGGTCACTGATGTCGAAGAACTGCGTCCGTTCCGGGCGCGAAGGCGTCGACATGTCGGAACCACCTCTGCGGACATGAGCACTCTCAAGATGCTGAATGCGAGCGGTGAGCTGATCGATGAGAACTCGGTTACTCTCCTTATGATCGTAGAGAGCACGGCTCATTTCGGATCTGATGACTTCGATACGGTGAGTAGCGTTCTGTTCAACCGTAGCGATGCGCGCCTCAGCATTTGAGATATTGATCTGAATTTGCTGCAGCGCATCAGGCTAATGCTTGATGTGACGGATCGTTTCAGCAAGCTGCATGGATATTGATCCAGCACGCCTTTCGTTGAACTGGTGGATCCGCTCATCGAACTCAATGAATCGATCACTTATCATTGAGCTGAGCCTCTCGAAACGCACGTCAAGGGACTCGAGATCTGAAATTTGCCGCTCTCGGATCAAGTCCTGCACATGAGTGAGGCGCTGTTGCTCATCACTCAGCGCATTCTGAAGAAGCTCCCACATGTCTCGGATCTTGTTTTCAAGTGCTTCAGTGATATCCGAGACGCCGTTCCTCAAAATATCGAGGTCGGCTTGGGTGTTGGTCACACCCTGCGCGATCGCCAGAATATCGGCGGCGATGCGCGCGGATGCTTCCGACCCAATAGCTTCATCGACCAGGGCCCCGACAGCACGGGGACCGGTAAGCCTCCCGCCGTTATCGTCGGCGGGGGCAGCACCACCATGATCCGCCGCGGTAATCGTTGCGACGGAAGCATGGGGTGCACCCGGGTGCTCGCTCATGGGCTCGTCGGGGAGCGAGGCTCCACCGCGGCCAGCCACCGGCCCGTAAGAATCGGGGCGCGGTGGACGAAAGGACGCCGGGTCCGAAATCGGTGGACCACGGTCGTCCGGCCCGGACCCAAAGAGGGCCCGAGCGCCCTCTGGATCCCCGCGAAGGGACAGAGGACAAGATGAAAGATCGGTCGGAAGAAGGGTAGGTGCAGAAGCAGCAGGAGCAGCGGATGCAGAAAAGGCAGGCAACAAGGGCAAAGCACGAGCGGTGGCAGAAGCAGGCAGCATGCCGGCGTGCATCGTGCCAGGCGTTGCGAAAGCAGCAGCAGCAGAGCATGGCAAAGGCGGCGCATGATGCTGAGCTCTCTGATCGTCCTCAGCAGGCAGCGAAGCAAGCAGCGAAGCAGAGCGAGCGAGCGAAGCGTGCGAGGCGGGCGCAGTGCAGCGAGATGCGTGGGCACTATCATCGGGCTCCACGACATCCCGAGCAACTGGCGTCACTAGTGAAGAACCGACAGTCGAGGGGACACGGGGAGAACCGATCGGAGTCGCCATTCTCTCGGTGGCGCGGCCAATCACAAGTTCCGAACTTGGTCTGAGCCAGGAAAACGGTAGTGATCGGACGCTGATTGGATCAGGCGGTCCGAGTGCCAAGCAGCAGCAGCGAAGCAGCAATCCACAATCGGATGCGGAGGCCTTACGGCTGATAACCTGTGAAAAGCGGAGGATTCCACTCAACTCTCGGTCACAAAGCCCAAGGCAACCAATCGTAGATCAAAGCAAAGCAGCAAGGCAAAGCAAGGATGATCAGAGATTAAAACCGTAAGTTTGACGCTCAGCGGAAAGGCAACACTAGAACCCCCAGGCGCTAGCGGACCTTTTGCTGGACCTGACGCAGGGTCGGTCTTGAGCAGTCAAGCTGCGTAAGTGAGACAAAGTTGGCGTGAATCTTAACCAGGACACAGAAGCACATGTACGCATGTCCGTGACAAATCACAGTAGTGGTAGTAGTAGTAGTAGTAGTCGTAGTCAGTAGTCGTAGTCAGTAGTCGTAGTCGTGGTAGTAGTAGTAGTAGTAGCAGCAGCAGCAGCAGCAGCACTAGTAGTAGTAGTAGTAGTAGTAGTAGTAGTAGTAGTACTCGGCGTTCGGGGTATCTCACATCAGTCGGTGAGAATACACATCAATGCCGGCAGATGCTGGTTTGGGCAGAATACACATCAGCGGGGAAATTACACATCAGAACTAGCTAAACACCAGGTAGACGCTGGTTTCAGAACCACCAGATAGGCCGGAGCGCCGGATTTGTTGTGGACGCTGAGGTATATAGTACATGTGGAGGCATTTCAAGATAAGAAATCAATGTGCTTGCCTTAAGAGGACGCTGGGATTTGGAGCAGTTCAAACGTCAGCTATCCCAAGGGCTTCTCAACAACGCACGGTTCATCATGTACTGTTTTCTTCCCCGCTCCAAGATGTGTACATCGTCTACAATACACAAGCACACACTCGCACGAAGATGGGCGCGCGCGCAAGCCTACTGAGACTGACAGATGCGAGCGCGTGCTGTAGAGGCCGAAGAATATGAAAGTCTTCCCGAAGTAGATGCCTTGCAGATGCGTAAAAGCACCCAGGTGCTACGAGATAGCCCGGGACCAAGTAGCAGTAGTACTAGTAGTAGTAGTAGTAGTAGTAGTAGTAGTAGTAGTAGTAGTAGTAGTAGTAGTAGTAGTAGTAGTAGTAGTAGTAGTAGTAGTAGTAGTACAAGTAGTAGTAGTAGCAGTAGTAGTAGTAGTAGTAGTAGAAGGCAGCAGGTAGTGGTAGTGGCAGGGTACTATCGGGTAGAAGTAGTGGTAGTCGTCGCCCTCATCGTAAAGTCGTTCCCATTCGTCCCCCGTGCACGTTCACCACCACCGGCTCATCGGCAGGCATACACACTTAGAGTCTCTGCCAAAACAAGATGTGCATAGCTCCTCAAACTGGGAGTGCAGGTCTATGTGTAGCAGGTGCTCATGTTCCTTGCATCTGGGTGCCCGAGCCACAGCCACCTCCCAGCTGCCTGCAGGCTCTCGTGGCAAAACGACTGCGCATCGGTCTCATCATAAATGAACTCGAGTCAGCGAAAACCAAGGGCTGTAATTATGTCGGCTGCTCTTTTGCTCTTTGACGGTCGAACTGAATTTCGACTGGCAGACATTGTCAAAGCACCACAACGTGACGTGCATGTAAAATTGGTTGCATACCAGCTACAAAAGGTGCAGTGAGCACCAAGGCTATTACCCTCACACCCAGCCTTCAGCTTTAAATCCCAACCTTGAGCTCATCGGCGTCATCCCGCAAACGCGTATCACTGCGAAGAGAAGCGGCAACAAAGGCTCAAACCTGGCCTTGTCCTTCCTCCTCTGCACAACCTGTCCAAGGGGATGATGAAGGATGCATCTGCACTCCACACGAAGCTCTGCAGTCGACAGCCCACCGCCGAGATGGTATCGTGCTTTTGCTGGCCTGCTTCCTTAAGCGAAATCTCCAACAGATCGAGCAACGACTACTTCACACCAAGGATCGCAACAAGAATTTTCCGATTCCTGAGGGTCGTAGAATCCTTGGGGTGTCTGGTGCAGAATCTACCCCACCTAGAAGCCGTCCCGCGCCTCTCTCCAAGCATCGAACGCAGTGCCGATGTCCAGAGAATTCCTTGTCTACAAAAACTGTAGCGTCTGCGCACATCTTCTGCACTTAGCCAAAAGAGATTGGGCGTCTACAGAGAGCTTGGCCATCAGGCATCAAGGTCCACAAGCTTTGGCCAGCAGACACACATGACAAGTTAGAACGCAGATGAGACAAAAGTCCAGCTGTGGAGGAAATGAAAGGGAACACCGATAGAATGGATGTCTGATTGAGACTACCATGGTGGCTTTGCCTGCGGCGCCAAACATGGCCGGCACTAAGCGAGAAGTCGTATCCGATCGACCATAATTAGTCCCTTCCCCCTCAAGTTACCTAAGCCCTCCCAACACAACAGTTGGCTCTAGGCCGAGAATACTGACGTTAGCGGTATTTGTGTAGGGTCGGCGGGCTTACAAGACATATAGATCATATAGGGATGGATCCAGTGGCCGCACATCCTCATACAATCCTAAACCGTGATGATTGACTAGCTGGTACGTTTTGTCAGGTTGATGAAAGACAGTCCAGTTCTGACTGGTTCCAGAGAGCCTCTCTTACTCCTAACAAAAATAGCACAGCCTGCCTTGCTTTGGCCTCCCAAGCTTGTAACTGCCACTCCAATATTGCTAAGCCGCGAAGCTACTACCTACACTCCTCTGCCTACCTGGTATACTTTATGAGTAATGCTGATCGTACTACTGGTTGAACTACTCAGTGGACACCACTGCTACTGCCACCCCAGAATGCTTCTCATTTAGTTTCGATCGCGAGCCCGGAGGATATGTGATACTAGGAGAAAAGAGTTTGCTCAATGCATGGTAGAAGGAATTCCCACGCACACAACCATTTAGCCATGGCACTCCAGCAAATTTGCGAACACTTTGACTGCACCATCCTTCCGATCACTGCAGTTTCTTCTTCGCAACTTTTTCGCATGTGTCTCCTTTCCTCTTTGACGACATGAGCATGCGAGCTGTGCCGAAGCATTCGCTGCGGTGTTTACGTCTATTCGTGTGGAAGCTCCAGGACGAATGGACAGTGTATCCGATCCAAGTTGGGCCTGCGAAGGCTGTAAGTTGAACGGCAGCTTGTCAGGTGTCATGATTTCCGATACGAGCGGACGGAAGTTTCAGCAAATCCGCCAGGCCTAGGCATAGTTCCAAACACCGCGCTCCCAATTGGCCCAAATGGTGCAGCAAATCTGTCATGACTGACAAACGAACGGCCAGCGGAACCCAAATCATCGTCAGTGATCCCTGGCCTGCCAGCTCCTCAACATCTTCATGAGTTCTGCGACCGTTTGGTCCGCCGGAAAAAGGTCCTGGGCTAAATCTGTCTGAGGTTCCCATGCGAAGAATACGCCCAAGAAACTACAGAACAGGATCACCTCTCTTCATCTTCCTCCGCAGCCCCCGCCCGTGATGCCGCAGAGACCAAAAGCCCTCACAGACCCGAGCAATACAAGTTCTTCAACATTCACAGCCAAAGCATCTGTGGCTTCGTCTTCAGAGCCACACCTCAAGAGTCAACCCATCATGCTCGGATGGCCGCTGACTTTGGTGGGCTTTATCTTGGTCACTGCTGGGCAGAAATTCGAAGGGTCTTTCCAGAAATCCAGAAAGTCCAGCCCCACGGTGCGAGTCTGTTATCAATTCTGTCCCTCTAGATCCTGAAGCTTTCAGACCGAATGGCTCGTCGGTGATGACCCGAAGGAAGAGGCGTGCGTAGATTGAGGCTGGCTCCAGCAGTTCGCTGCGCGATCTCAGCCAGGGAGGCAAGGGGACAGGACCACAGAGACAAGGAGAAACAGTCCCTGCTTTCTGTGCCGTGGGGGGTTGGTGGAGGAGAACCACAAAATTTTCATCATCTTCAAGCCTAGTCACATGGAAATTCCTACAGTACATTCCTTCAGTGAAAAGCATCTAAGGGTTCCTTTGGCAACTGTGCTGTTCGCGCGTCTTGTCAGCTCCCCGAGCCTCGAGCTGGGCAAAGAAGCACAAGATCCCGGACGGTGAGATGTCGGTACTGACTAGAAACCTTCATCGGGATCACAGCCTCTTTGAACTTGCAAGCCAAAGAGCATGGCTTTCCGGAATGTGCTTGCCTGGCTCTCTCACACTACAGACGACTGCGGGGTACTCAACACTTCCGGATGCGCTCTGCATGCCTCAGCCAGCCATTCGATGACTCTGTGCATGGCTGTGGCAAGTGGTGCAACATGTGTAGTCCCTATTGATATCTGATATCTATTGCATGACATCAACAGGCTCTTCCCGCGGCGTCTCGAACTGCAGCCAAGCATCCTCAAGACGGAAAAAGTGTGCGCTCTGCTCTTCGCAGATGAGTCTTCCGCGGGATTCCCATCTCAACCTCGTGTTAGTTGGCCAGTTCGGAAGCGTGGCATAGTGGCCCTGGACTTTCCGCAGCGTGCAACTAAGACCCAAGGCAAAGGGGCATCGCGGATGGCCCAAACTAGATGCGAGCCGGGAACCAGAGGGCAGGCTCGCCCACTCTCATGTCCTGAAAGCAAAGGTTCCGGAACTTTCATCAAGAAGTCTCGTGCAGAACACGCTTGGGCTGGGCCCGGTGGTTCAGTAGAAGCGTGCGTGTGCGTGTGCGCGTGTGCGCGTGTGCGCGTGTGTGGGTGCATGGGTGGGTGGGTGTGTGCGTGTGTGCGTGTGTGTGCGCGTGTGTGTGTGCGTGTGTATGCGCGTGTGTGTGTGTGTGTGTGCGTGTGTGTGTGCGCGTGTGTGTGCGTGTGTGTGCGTGTGTGTGCGTGTGTGTGTGTGTGCTTGTGTGTGCGTGTGTGTGCGTGTGTGTGCGTGTGTGTGCGTGGGTGTGTGTGTGCGTGTGTGTGTGTGTGTGTGTGCCTGTGTGTGTGTGTGTGTGC